AAGTGAAACATTGTAAAGTTGTAGAAGTTATTAGATTTTGAAAGTCACAAACATCGGGTGGCCTGGCTTGTCTGCAGGCGCGACCAGAAAAAAGAAGTCTGTTGACAGTTCTGTTGTGAATTACATAATTGAAGTTGAACAATTCATTTAGTAAGAAATAATTGCATGAAAGTCACAGATAGTCCTATACAACTTGATTTATCAATCAAGAAATCGTCTATAATATAAAAATAAGTTTGATAAAGCTTTGTTGACGAAGCTCGAAGAGACTGCGTTCGGATCCATCACTTCATAATGATGATATTCGACTATTATATATTCTTAGTTGAAACAATTTTCTTCCATAGCTGTCACATGAGGGAATAGAAAGACATAATATATATAGTGAAATGTAGCGCCCATCGAGTTGGGTCCGGCGAACAAGAATTAAAGCAAAGATAAAGTATAATGGTCATTTATCATGATAATCCTGACATAGACACTTTAAGATTGTTTTGCTGCTTCCATAATAGCTGGTATCTTTTTCTCTCTTATCTTCTGCCTACCTCTTTTATATTAAGTATAACATCTCATCATCTGTTCTATTCATGTGGTCATATCTCTTGCTTTATTTGTGTCCATAAAGATGTTCCTGATAAAGCAAATAATATGCAATTTTCTTCTTTTTCTTTTGATTGCGCTCTATTTAACTTAATTGATACCTAGATTACTCTATCATTAATTGGTTTCATAGCTTCTTTTGTTATAACAATATCATCTGGTTGTTCCATCGTCAATGAAAACAATATTTAATGTTGTTTCACTCAATATTGAAAATGCAAATACCGGTCAAATCATTCCATCTATAATGCATGGTATTATTCTCGAGACAAATATCAATAGAGATGACAATGGTGGTTTATATTCAGAATTTGTGTAAGTACAATCGCGCTTTTCAAGGTTAGTCATTTTCTTATGATATGTACGTAAAACGAATTCTGACATGTCTACAATATTATTTGAGATATTCGCTCATTGAAAACTCAACTTTACTTTTCGGCTTCAGCAATGGTGGCTTTTATGGCATCAATATTCAATCTCAAAACTATACGGCAAGTTTCTTCTATCGATCACTAGGGGAAGCATATGTAGCAGGTGATAAACTAAGTATTGAATTCAGCGACTCGACTGGTCAAATTATATATAGCATATCTACAATCGATGTATCCATAGCTCCTGTTGATAAATGGTTTCATTTTTCTTTCACTATTCCTGTCTTGAGTGGTACTTCATCAGTCAAAAATTTTTTCTTCATTGAATTTCCACCAGGCTCCAAGGGTAACTTTGAATTTAATCTTGTTTCCTGTTTTCCATCGACTTGCAAAGATCGAGCCAATGGTGCGCATATCGACATTGTACAAACTTTTGCCGATTTAAAACTTGGCTTTGTTTGACTTTCAAGTGGTAATGATCTTGAAGGTTCTACCATTCTTGAACGTTTTATTTGGAATAATACTTACATACAATAATAATAATGTAAAACATGGATTTTTTAATAAATCTAATATTTATTTGAAGCAACATTATAATAATGTATAATGATCAACCATTGATCACCTATATGAAATTTCTTTCTTTTTTATTTAAACTATCAGAGTTTAAAAAAGGAGAAAAAAAAATTCAATTTATTTAATACATCATGTTATAGATTTATTAAAAAATTCATGTTTTACATTATTATTATTGTATGTATGTACTCATCAACAAGCAACTAATGAACATGGTGTTATTTCCCTTTCTCTATTTAGAGAATCGTACAAGCAAGCATATGTTGGAATTAGAATTATGGAAAATTATCCTATGGTGGTCAACATTGACATGGTGGTATCCCATGTAGCTAATAATGGATAAATAATGGGAAAATGATCCATTATTTTCCATTATTTTGCAAAAATATCAAATAATAAATTATAATTCATTATTTTTCGTAATTTCAATGTATTTCAACGCATTATTTGGAAATAATGCCATAATAAAGTATAATGCATTAATATTCAATGCATTATAATGCATTATTAGAAAAAATCTTAAAAAATTTCAAAATTCAATAAATTTTCAATGCATTTCAATGCATTGACTTTCAACGCATTGCAATGCATTATTTAAAACAATGATGAAATTTCCAAAAATAAAATAAAATTTCAATGCATTTCAATGCATTATCGGAAATGACGTTGAAATGCTTCAAAATTTAGTAAATTTTCAATGCATTTCAATGCATCATCCAGAAATAATGTTTTAATGGCCAATAGTGCATTGGAGATCAATGCATTTCAATGCATTTTCCGAAAATAATGCTCTAATGTCGAATAATGAATTGAAAATCAATGCATTATTATGCATTATGAGAAATAGTGTTGAAATGTTTGAAAATTTAGTAAATTTCCAATGCATTTCAATGCATTTTCATACATTATTAGAAATAATGCTTAAATGTGTCGTAATGCAGTCAAACCTATATGTAGTTCCAGAGAACATGTCTAGAACTTTCATAATTCAGTGAGACTTTAATGGATTATGATTCATCACTTAGAATTTTGATCTCTTAACTTTAGCAGTGCACAATACACGGAAAGGAGATTGCAGTAAGATCGTTCGCAAAATCAAACACAAGATGGCACCAAGCTTAAGACAGGCTGTCGACTATTCACCAGCTTGTGCTCAAAGACAAATGTAGCATTATTCCGTATGTATGACACGTTTATCGTTGCAGGCGAGTGGTATATAAATATACATGAACACAGAAACAAAAGGAAATAAATGCTGTGCTTCGCACCGCATTAAATATTCAGAAGCTGATAAAGAACCAAGAACTTCCTGAAAAGTACCAAAGAGAACATTCATGATCTATGCAGAAAGACTAAGAGAACGAATGTAAATGATCATCCTAGAAAGGCGAACATATGCTTTCACGAATGACAACAGAACACAAGAAGATGTAGATGAAAAATACATACGACAACGTCACAACAATGATACGAGGAAAGATGACATACACAAGCCATGACGCCCCTTAACCACTTTCTATATATCACACCTTTTTAACGAACATTCATCCAAATACAGCTACGAACATATAAATCTTATGGTTTAGTGATAAAGGATACGTGTAAGTTTCAAGTAACGAAGAAAAAACGAAAGTTTCGTGCTTCATCACAACTCAAGACTGCGTCAAGGTCATCCTGGCTAACTTTTTCATGCCTCCAAGTTTACCATGCAAAACTTGCTTCAATTAGTTTGAATAATTCTATGTTCATCTTTCACACAATATCACTCAGATATATAATTGCACTTCGCCAACATTCCACTTTCAACCACAATGAACTTCTCGAGCTTTACAGAGGAGCAGATTCATCAAGAAGAAAATTCAAGCGAATATGTTCGTCATGCACACCAACCAAAGACTACCAATAGTTACAACGTTCTCCAGGATAACTTTCACACATGCTTTCAATACAATGTAATAGCAAAACTTTTCTTTTTTTTGTTCCTCACATAAAGTCATAGCACGTGGTCAAAAGGAAATCGATATCAGGCCACAGTCAAAGAAGAACAATCATAAAAATATAGCTGTCTACAGCTAAAGGTATATTGTGAAGGGTATCAGAATAAGGGTATACGGCTAAGCATATAGGAATAAAGGTATTCGGTTAAGGACATAGGGTTAAGGATATAGTATTAAGGATATATGCATAAGGGTATAAGGTTAAGGATCTAGGAATAATGATATAAGGTTAAGGACATAGTATTAAGGGTACAGTATTAAGGATATAGCCATAAGGTTATAGGAATAAGGTTATAAGCATAAGGGTATAGGGTTAAGGATATAGAGGAAAGGGTCTAGTAGTAAGGATGTAGTATTAAGGATATAGGCATAAGGGTATAGGATTCAGGATATAGGGGTAAAGGTTTAGGGTTAAGGGTATAGAAATAATGATATAAGGTTAAGGATATAGTATTAATGGTACAGTATTAAGGGTATAGGAATAAGGATATAGCATTAAGGATATCGGAATAAGGATATAGGTATAATAGTATAGGGTTAAGGATATAGGGTTAACGATATAGTATTAAGGGTATAGAAATAAGGATATAGGCATAAAGATTTAGGGTTAAGGAAATAGAGTTAAGGGTACGAAGGTAAGCGTAAAGGGATAAGAGTATAAATTATGACATTCTCAATCCATTAAAATGCATTTTAAACAATAATGTATGCAATTACATTATAATGCAACCTAAATAATGTATTATAATGTATTAAAACCTCAATGCATTGCAATGCGTTACAAAATCAATGAATTATAATGCATTATTTAGGTTGCATTATAATGCCATTGCATTCATTGACTTTCTATGACAAAATAATGCATTATAATGTACATTATTTATAAAAATCGGCTACATGGGTATATGGCATAGTGATATAGGGTACGGGAAATATGGTATGTTGGTAGATGGTATGGGTTAACATCGGCGTGGTGATATAGGGTATGGAGGTACATGACATGGTTTAACATCAGCATGACGGTGTATGGTATGGTAGCGGAAAATCAGCTCAAGATGATACATGGTATGTTGGTCAACATTATGTTTTAAGGTGATTTATTAGATGATGCTCAACAATAAGTACGATAAATTAATACGATAATTATTAACATCAAGTTTGGTCAAATGGTACAAGTTATCAGATGGCCAACGTCCCGATGATGGTCGTAGAAAAAGACCGAAAATCCGACATAAATCAAAAACAATGAAATTAAAAAGAAAAACAAAAAAAAATATATTATTTATTATTATTTATTATTTTATTTTATTATCATTTTCATGCATTCATATAACATGATGTATTAAGTATATTAAAAAAAATTTTTTTTTCTCCTTTTTTAAACTCTGATAGTTTAAATAAGAAATAAATAAATTTCACACAGGTGGTCAATGGTTGATCATTATACATTATTATAATGTTGCTTCAAATAAATATTAGATGGAATAATACTGTTGGCCTTCTTGAAAATCGTGCAGGACGAAGAGAAACATGGGCAGTCTATAATACTGAAGGTTTCAGACTGATTGAATTATTAACTTTTGTTGAAGATATCGGTGCAACATCTATGCTAGCCGTTTACGCTAGATATTCATTAAATGGAAAAGTGGTACCTCAAGATGAACGTCAACCTTATATTGACGAAGTTATCAAAGAATTGAACTTTTTGACTGTCCCTGCCAGTAACAATAGTATGGGAGCTCTACATGAACGTTTAGGTCGTAGTCAACCATTTGATATTAAATATGTGGAAATTGGTAATGAGGATTTTTTGCTGCAAGTTCATACAGTTACTGTTGGCCAGCTTTTTACAATGCTCTTTCTCAACAATATCCTGATATTACTTTTATTGCTACGACAACCAAATCTATTAACTCTCCACCAGCTGTTGATGATCATGATTATCAAGTTCCATTGTTTTTTATAGAAAATTTTCGTCTTTATGAAAATATTCCTCGACCAAGTCCAAAAGTATTTGTAGGAGAATTTTCAGTCATCAACGATGATGATTTACAAATTAGTAATCCATTTGGAGCATGTCCATTCAATTATCCATCTATAAAATCTGCTGTCGCCGAATCCATCTATCGAATCGGATTGGAATGGAATGTAATTCAGATATCATTATTGGTGCTTGTTATGCTCCAGTTCTTCAAAATATTTTCAATACACAGTGGACACCAAATCTGATTGTTTTTTATGCTAGTTCAATCGTTAAATCAACATCACATCTTGCTCAAAAAATGTTTGGCCAAAATTTTGGTAACATTATTCTCAATTCCACTACTACAAATAGTTCCTTTACTCATCAATCCATACAAAGCAGGACAAGAAGAAGATGGTAAACTTGGTAATCTTTACTTTGTTGCAACAAAACGCACCAATGATAGTATGTTAATCCTTAAACTCGCAAATGCAGATCCGAATGATATTTATGTTAAAGTATAAGTTCAAAGTACAACTCTCTGTTGCAAAGAATTCATGAAGATCTTGACAGCTGGTCCTGGTGTTGATCCTACAACAGTGCATAATACTATATGTAATCAAAATGCTGCATCGATTTATCGACATCATTTGTGGGCGGCGATGGCACATTTTCAATCACAATCCATTCCTGGAGTGTTATGGTTATTACTCTTCGTCTCTAATTTTATTGTCAAACTATATCTTCAAATAAAAGAATGCTTCTTTTCTATCAAAATACTGATTTTTAGCATGAAGTAATATTTACATAATTCAACGACTGTAAACAGAAAAAGTGCAGCACGCACTATCTTTTATAATATGAAGAAAGTATGAGATTTTAGGCCTGAAATATTTACGCTCTTGCTTTCAATCTTGTAGATGTTTGTCTATTGGTAAGAAACTTTTCAAAAGACGAATGCTCTGAGCAGGTTGCAAAAGAAAATCGTACGTGTAATGTAATATTTCGATTTAAAAATGCTTCAACAATCGTGCATATAATTCTCATGAAGTTCTGCATATGTTGTGTATTTATTTTGTTTTTGTTGAATACAAAACAAAAAATTTCTCAAAGACTAAATAGTCTTGAGGAGTATATCATTTGTTGAGTATTTCAGAAAATAATT